CGGTTGGCAACATTCCATCTCATCAATTTAATACTTTGTATTAAAATTGAAAGATACATATTCTCATTTATATCAGAATGCCAATTTGTTAATTTGGGAAATGTTTGAGGAATAACATTGTTGATTCTCGTAGAGTGGAATCAAAATTTAATAAATAATTCGTGTCGAGAATTAAAATGTTAATTTTTTCTAATCTTACTTTCTTATTCGATTCCTTTTGCAAATTGTTTGGGAAACAACAATTCACAAAAGATATCAAGTATTGTCGAAATATTGGAAATATATGTGGCAATGGTCATTAAGATGGGCCACTCGAACCAAGGAACTCAGATAAGATTTTCTGAAGCGTCATTAGTTACCTTCGAGTTATGGTATCTCGAAAAAAGAGGTCGAGAATCGTTCGGACAGGCATTTACGTTGGGACAAAGGCCGGGCTATATCAGAATTTTAGAAAGTTTCTCTGATAGCGATTCCCCTCTAGTCTTAATGGCTCTTTGAATTTTTTGAAGAGAACCCATCGTGATATTATTTTTCACGTCCTTAAAAAACGCGCATTCTTGTCCATGAGTCAACGCTTAACGACCCCATGTTTTTGAATACGGAAACATAAAATTAAAAAACGTATCAATTAATCGTTAAGCAATAATTAAGAATGAGAGTTCCACGTGCAAGAAAAGGAAAAGAAGCTATTTTCAAAATTTAGAAATTACAACAGAGTTAAAATCATGCTGTAAGAAAAATCCATTGAAAAGCGGATTGTGGAAAAGCGAAAGGTGTTAATGTAACATCGGGCCCAAAAAAGCGACCAAAAATATCGGCGAAAGCGATCGTTTGTTTGGGAATCACGAGCTGAAAACGAGCCCTGGGGAGATTCCTCCGCGTCGAAAGGAAAATTCCATATGATTTGAAGCCCACCTCCTCCTCTTGCGGTCGTCTCTCCGTGCCAGGCCGAGGTGGGAAGAGAAAGAAGAGAAAGAGGAAGGCGAAGGAAGAGAGGAGAAGAAGAAGGAGGAGAGAAGAGGAGAGGAGAGATTGGAGAGATATATAGTGTACGTGGAATATCGAGAGGTGCGCGCACACGTGAGAGAAGAATCGCCACCAAGTCTCAGGGAGCTCTGCGCGTGGGCTCTGTGCCAGGGGGCCGTGCCAGAAAAGAAAAAAAGAGTTCTCGGAAGAGAGCGGCAGGGCCTCTCTTCTCCCTCTGCTGCAGCTTTCGAGGGCTTCGCCGGGACAATCCGCCACTGGTTCTTGCCAAATCTCGGGTGTACGGGTTAATTGAGTAATAGTTTTGCCGTTTTCGATGACGCGGACGACTAATTTTAATTCGCGAGCCGACGATCACCTTCGATTCCATTCTTGCCTCGCGATTCTTGCCCCTCGTTTTCGCGATCCGAATCCTTGACGAGGGGGAGAGCGGTGCCTTGAGCGTCTTCCACTTTTGGTATTTATTTATGTGAGTGTGGGAGAAGGCAATTATTTGCAGGCGAACATCTTCTTTTGTGACTCGCGATTTGAACCTCGGTGAGAGTCAATTTATTTCAGAGAGGTTTTTACTTTTGAAAATGCAGCCTCGAGTGTTCCTTTTTGAAAGTTCGAGTTTGGAATAGGGGAAGTTTATTTTGGAAGGAAGAGATTCTCTTAATAATTTATAAATCAAGAGAAATTGTGAAAGATTATTTTCTTTTGTGAAAAAATTTTTTGACAAAATTATAGCGATTCCAGAGTTTTGGAATTAATAAAGATCTCAGTTTGTTTGTCTACGATTCAACGAATCGTGAAACAATTTCGACGAAACGTATCGAAAACAGCACTTACTTATCTGTAAGTATTCCCTCCTCTTTATCATCGATCATTTCTGATATTTTTACGAGAATAAGTTGTTTATGTCGTTCGTTCGATTCCATTCGATATCGTGGAAATACCTATTGATCAAAAGGCACTGTTACGTTCTTGTATTTGTCAGCGTTGTCAGGACCTCATGAAAGAAGGATAGAATTCTTCTCTATTCATGAGTCACTTGGAAATCGCGGCAATAAATATCGATAAGCGATATTTATGTCGTTTGTGTCGTTGTGCACAGTTTAAAACCCATTCAATTTCGATGATTAAGTTAGCCAGGTGCTTTCCTCTTATCGTTTCTTTTACTTTATTATTTTTATATAAGTATTCCCAGAAACGTTCAACCGATACACTTATCAAAAGTTGCTTTTTTTTCTTTCTAAATCCTTGTATAATAATTAAATTTTTACGAACGATTATTACAGAAATGGAATTAAAATAGAGACGATCTGTTTCACGTTTTAAATCTTTTCGATCACAAGATCAAACGGAATAATCGTATATAATATTTATATCAAGAGTATAAAAATTATCGAAATGAAATATAGAGATCTAATGGGTATTTAATTGTCTACGTAACAGTTAATTTTAATGAACATAACCACTAAATTGATGGCTCCAAGCTGTTATTTCCAACGACGAGTAAAACGACTACCTAGACAAATATTCTCATAAGCAGAGTTCTCTGTTTGGACATTTCTCTTTACTCGTATCCCGTGACTGGTTTACGTGAATCGTGCCTACCGTTCTCCAACACGATTCGAACGGTAGCGCCATTTCTGTTTCGTAACACGGCAGCGAGTCCTCAACATCCGTCGAGATCTTTATCGGGGATCAATATTAATTCTGTACAACATTAGAACGAAACATTTCTTCGGTATTTTATAACAGGTCACGTTTCTATACACGTAAAACTCCCTTTGAAATCACTCGATTTTTATCTGGAACATATTTAATTTTATAAAAAAATAGGGGAGATATTCCAGGTGATATAAAGTTACTCGAGACAAAGTTAGAGAAAGTTTCTTTTTTTTCCTGTAACTAATTCTTTTTTGTTTTCAACACAAGATGGTATTTTTAACTCATACAATATATAAATATAACCTGATTTAAATATAATTGTCCATCATTGATCATCGGAATCAAAATTTTGTGGACAAAATTTCTTTAGGTTTAAAAAGGAAATATATTTAATGATAAAAAAAATAGAAAAAAATATTTTTTTAAATCATTTATTTTTAAATCATTTACAATAATTCCATATAATATACACGATTCTTATATCATTCTATATAATTGTAGAACCAACAAATCTATAATGTACAATCTACAATGTGGATCGATGTATGATGCAACAACAAACGTTATGAATATACGTTTGCATATTATAGATTGATATACTTTTATAGTGAGCATGACGCAACGATAAGTGTATAATATACACATTATTATAGATTGATTCTACAATTAAATCTACCTATTGGCACACATCGAAAAACTTTTCCACTGACAAGATTTAACACTTGTGCTCTATTATAAGGTTTCGTTACATCGTTCGTCCTTTTGATATTTTCGATCGTGCACGATGATTGGATAATCTTCGGTTATAGAATTCTACCGAGCCCGACGATCCACTATACGCGGGTCAAAATTGATATTCCTCGCGTGACGAAAGCTCGCGAGTGAAATGTCTTTTCCCGTTTTAATTTGAACACGCGGGTCGTCGACCCTCGACAACTGTCGGCAACTGTTCGCATTAATATATCGTGCTCGTACGGCCGCCGATCGTGCCTGAATGCCGACAGCTTTTGCCTCGTGGTGAAAAACAATCGATACGGGGCTTCGATGTATCTCTCTCCGTGTGGCGAATAGAACTCGAAGAGATCGCCGCACGATCATTCTTCGTCCTCGAAGGCATTTTATTTTATACCCGTCAATGAAACTTCGTTCTTTCTCCTTCCAATTAGATTAGACTTGATATGAGAGTCCTTTTCCTTTAAAAAAATTTTCAATTTTCCCGAAGTCGAACGAAGTTGTTATTAAATAAGAAATACTTTTCGAGGATCGAAGTTTTTTACGATATTTTGTAATTAATTGAAAAGGATAAAAAGTATTGAATCATCTTCTCATAGTGAAGAGAGTTTATTCGACTCGTAAGATCTAAATTTGGAATAACTGTACTTTTCGAGAAACGGAGAAATTTCATTGCTTCTAACTGTTTCATGGTTTTTCAACGTGTAGTATTACGTTTTTTCTTTTTTGTGAAACGTAATGATTAGTCAGGTGATATCAGAAAGACGTGTCGACGATACGTAGAGGTGATGCAAGCCAACCGCTTGATTTCGAAGCTCGAGTAACCTAGTTTTTGCCCATTCCGGGGCAAACGCGATTATGTCATTAATGCGATTATGCGAGCATAGTTTACGTCGATTCACAAGATAAAGCGTGTCGATAAGACACGTAAGGATATCTCTGTGTAACGAAAATAGATTTGGAATAAATAGTAAAAATAATCGGGAGTCAAGAAGTCTTCTTTCTTTATTTTTGAGAAAATCAGATTAAGTTGGTACTTGTATGATAATCTATTTGTTTATTTATATATACGTAAAAAATATACAAACGATATCCTCTATATACTATGATGATGACGAAACGTATTCGAGTCATTATTTAATAGCTGCGTTGTCTTATTTTCTGATTTTACATTCGAATTCAAGGTTAGCCACAACAATGTTTAATCATAAATAGAAATTTCCCAATATCTAAAAACGAAATATGTAATATTTATACAATAGACGCAACACTGCCAGTATTACATCAAGTAGACAAAAGTGTATATGCGTATCGAAGAATAAAAATACAGGGGGGAGGAAGAGAAGATCTTGTTCAGAAGAATTATCTTGACAAAATGTTTCAATAAAGTTTCAAAATTCATTTAAAATATATCCCTCGTTCTAAACGATTAGCATAATTAATAATGAATTATATTGCAAAATAAATTCTCAACAATTTTCTCTTTGGACTCGATCCATCTTTCATACTCGACTAATGAATATGGAACGTGATCTCATAATACCTTCAAATTGTCCAATCATTTCATACTTCGATTCCTCATTTTTAATCAATCGAAACTGATCAATCATCCCTTTCTTTGATTACAGACTCATATTCTGTTGATGGATGCGTTCCTCCAGAACAACAGGCTGGACCATGTCTCCAGGGTGATGGCCTCGCATCCCTCGTACTTGGAGCATTTTCTCCGCACTCAACATTTCATCCTGAGGGGTGACGGACCGCTTCCTTACGACTACAGGCATCTCATCGCCATTATGGTGAGTACAACGCTGGTTTTTCTCTTCTCTTCATCTAATTCGCCGTAATGGTGGCAACTTTTTTTTTCTTCTTCTTCTAATCTGGCGATAACGCCATCTGGTGGAAAAGCATTTCTCATACCAACTTGAAGATTTTTATCCTGTTTTTTTTTTCTTCTTCTTCTTCCAAAAGCAAAAGAAGAAGGGTGTGATTAATACTTGTTAATTTAAGGGAATGGTTAGTTTAACAAAGCGAACACGCGAACGGGAAGATTGTTTAAATGGATTACGTGTTGGAACAAAAAAACTTGGAATTGTTACGTAAAATATTAGCACGAATGTAATGTTAATGGAATCTAAGTTGGGAAGATGAATTTTCAATGATGATTTCTAATCGTGGACACGTGATATAATAACCTTCCGTTGTGAAATATAGTTTAGAAATTCATTATAATATCCTTGAATTCATGGTAAAATTGTTGGAAAAATGATAAATAGTCGAAGATAAATACTGAATACTTTTCATTACGTTATATGTAAATACAGTCAGTCATAAAAGTGCTCGTACATTTTATAAGAATTCGAGTAACGAGTTTTATTATTAAATCAAATAATCATTTCGTAATATGCATCGCGTTGTATGCATTAATATTATTAAAGTCTCGATATTTTTCAAACAAATACAAACAGGATTTAAAGCACAGATAAATCAAAAAAAATTTTAAACATTTGTTAAACGTAAATTTTATTAAAAAAAAAAGAATTATTTACCAAAACAATTTTTTAATTTTACAAATTAAAGAGATTTAGCTCTTGGTATAAAAAGAACGTTCCCAAACGTATTAAAAAATGAAAATTGAAAAATTGGATTTCGTTTAAAAAGAAAATTGTTACGCGTCTAATCTATTATATTACTTTATACACAAACGCACAAATTATTCCGATATTTATTAATATCAGAATTCTCGAATTAATAAATTTCCTTGCAAGATAATAAACGTACATTTTCGTGATCGGCTGTACATCGTATAATTATTTGTTTGTATAACATCAACGTCAATTAACCACATCATGTTTTTTCGTTCTATTATTATCGATTACGATACGTATAAAGTGAAATGTAAATAAATCAATTTAAATATGTGCATCACAATGTTGAACGAATGAAAAACATATATATTATAACGTGCCTTGGACGTGCTTGTCAAATAAATGGCAGTAATAATTAATAACAATAATAAATAATAATGTCATGCGTTAAGAATGTTATTTTTGCTCGCGACAAACAAACCCGGAATGCGATTATCGTGGACCCAATCAACGTCGTGTATGTACCTCTTCCTCGTTCGTTCCCTTGGGTCATTGGGCCAAAGATTATCGGAAGAAACCGAACAAGTGCAACGGGTTTCGTAACGTTATATAGCTGGACGTATATGCTCGAAACCATGGAGCATACGTTTTCGTCAATATAATGATTTTCACGTGGAATTCGACACGAATTTACGATCGGTCGTCAAAGTTGGACGATTCGTCGATAGTTCGAACAAATCGAAATCGGGATGGGTTGATTAAGCGTAAAGTAAACAGGATATCGGATCGAAGTTGTTATTTCTCGTTTCGAGAGATATCGGTCGGAAGTGGTAACGAGTTTCCTGATCTCCAATTAACGGAAATTATACTTAATCGATCGATTTATATGTAAATAAACTAATAACACGAGTAATCCGATTGACATATGCAACTTCTGACTCGTCTAGACTGGCTTTAAAACCTCGAATCGACGTATCTAAATATGCGATATTAATAAAATAATTATACGCTTTTTTTTCATATTTACCTTGCTTCTGAATGTTTACTCGAGAATAATATCGAGTTTAATTTATTATTCGTTACATTGAAAAATTAAATAACTATCAAGTAAATAGAATAATGATGAATTATAAGTTCAAATATTATAATAAGAATGGATGACTATCGCAAGCACTTCTTCTTAATTTTATAGATTTTTAATCTAGTTTTGAAATGTTTAATTTCGAAGATTTTGACAATTATCGTCGTTTAATAAATTGAGCGTCGAATTTAGGTAGTTCATTTGACATGTCGATAGAATACAATATATGTATGCATAGAATACGTATCATTTAGTTGAAAATGATCGACTCGAAAACGCGTTATCAGCCGCGATAAAAAGTCGACTGATGAGGAAAAAGAGATTGTCGAGAGGAACTCGAAGAAATGGAAGGGGAGAAGAGTGATTGCACTTGGTACACGAAGAATGATAAAGCGATAAGCTATCTGAAAAACAGCTTTTCTACCGGTAAACATCATTCAATCTGGTCCGAGATTCGCGAATTTTATTCGATTCGAAGATAGAGCGAAATTATCGAACGAAAAGAATGAAATGTGGAGAAACGTTGAGGAGATCAAAGTCTATCTTTTATAATTAAATCAATATATGAGCAATAATTGATTTTTTTCTTCGAACTGATAGAATTTGTAAACAAGAAACATGTAATAGAATCAATGGAATAATTTTATTAAAATTTATCGAAAAAAAGAATTTAATTTTGCTAGACTAGATTAAATGAGATAACTCTATCACGTTATATTTCTGCTCTTCTAAGATAAAAGTTAAATTATTTATAAATAATAAATATATATATTTATGTAATTTAATAAATAATTGATAAGCAATCGATTTGCATACAAACTTTTATTTTTATTTGAATCGATTTTCTAAAAATAATATTCTATATATGAATATAATTTTTTTGGTTTGAAGTTTTTTTTTAATCTTCTTAACTTTGATGGATTCAAGTATATCTCCTGTTTTGATTACTAGATTACGTAAAAAAACGGAGAATTAATAAAATGATTATCGACTTATCAACATTCTTAAGTTGTATCGAGCAAAACAAATAGGAATTGCACATGTTTGACGTTTATTCCAATTTTTAACGAGAGTACACGTGGCCTATATCATTCTCATTCTAAAATTCTCGCGCATATTGACAAAAATTATCATCGTCGAAATTTACATATTCCACACATCATTTCTCCATTAAAATTCATCGTATGCATAATGAGAGATAAAAAAAAAAAATCTTTAAATGAATCTTTAAAAAAATGTCTTTATAAAAACGAGTGAGGGAAAAAAAAAATTATAATGTCAAAATCACAATAAAATATTTCGTCTCGTTTTTTTAAGTAGCGCCACGTAAAAAGAGAAATTTGTTTGAAGAACAACTTCCCACGATTTAAATTAATCTTAATAACTCGCACGATTGTATTCGATGTTCGTTCATGTTCGATATTTTTTTTTTTTTTTCATAGGTGTACAAAATTTCATAGAGATTGGAACGGAGAGAGACGGATATTTGCAGACTTCTCTTATCGCTTATCGCGGCTCTTGAGTCGATCGATCCGCGGCCCCGCATGGTAAACACGTGTCTTGTTTACGCGCTTCATCATCTCGCCTTTCGCTTGCCCCTCCCCTCGACGTTCGTCCACCTATTCTTCCACGTCTTCGCAATACCTCTCCCGCGAGTCATTTGAATTTCTGATGTAATTCCACCGCGATCAAAACAAACCAATAAGAAGAAACCGATCGTGCCGCATCGCCACTCCGTTATTTCCCTCGTAACAGCCTTCTCCTCCTTCTCCTCTGTTTTTCCAACCACTCCTTGTCCAACCAGCAGCCTCTAATCGTGATTTATTTCATTTTTGCAAAGTTTGTTTTCCTAAAAGCTTCAAATGTTGGAGCTATGAATTGAATTTACGTGGAGATGGATGAATCTTATTTTCATTTGTTTAATTTTTAAATATTGTTTTTTTTTGTTTCTTTTTTTTTTTGTTTTAATTTTAGATGTTGAAGATTTTGAAGAATTTCAGATATACGAATTTTGTATCAAGGATGAGAATTTATTCGAGAATAAAATATTGAAGAGTCGCTTTCTTACAAGCGAATGTGGGAGGAATTGATAGAGAATAAAGTTATTGTTTACGAAAAAGTTTGAATTTACATCGAATTTCTCATAGTTAATTCTCACAATATTCATTCGTTCTCCGTTTCTTTTCCAAACTTCCACACAATGAATCCAAGTATCAAAGATCGACGAACCCAATCTCATCTCGTAAAGGCGATTTAATTTTCACAAAATTCGCTTTTCTTCTCTTTCACGCGTCGAATCGGCTTTGAACACGAAGAATCGACGAATCTGGTCGCTCGACCGTACTTCTTTTCTTCCTTCCTGTATCGTGTAGGAGTGCAAGAGCAATATAAAGTGAGAAACATACGCGATCGATACTCTCTTGCTCAATTTCGCGCCTCGATACGTCGCGTCGTCGGCAATTTGTCTCTCCCTCAACATTCCTCCATCTAGTTTTTTTTTTGTTCCTTTTCTTTCTTTTTTTTCTTTTCTCTTCATTGATTCTTCTGTCTCCACGCTCGAAGACTCTTTCTTTCGGGATCTCCTCTGAAGTTAGGCACACGGTATACTACTATGTTTGCTCGAGACTTTGCCTTCGAGCATTCTTTTCAGCCGTTGAGCTTGATGAGTTTCTTCTTTGGAGAACGCGTGATTTTAATCGAAATGCGAAATCGAGAATGTTATCGGTCATATCTCTTTCACGTACGATGCATATCACGGATATCGATTGTGTATTTAAGTGACAACACTTTTGGAAGATTTATTGCAAAATTTGTATAAAATTTTACAGAATGCACTTGTATCTAAAGTATAATATATATATAGAATTATCGTATTTGAGAAATAGAGGAGAATTTTAAATTTCTTCATTTCTTATAAAAATTATTAACAGTCTCGCTTGGATAATGGATTATATTACAGTTCACGGTTATCCAGATTCAAATTAATATATTAGATTATGCAAATTTTGAAACTTTTTGAATTTGAAATTGTTTAATTTGAATCCCTTCCAGTTTTATTTAATCAAAAGATTAAAAACGGAATAGCAAATAACATATAATATATTTTGTTTGCAGGCTGCTGGTAGACATCAATGCAGCTATTTAATAAATCTGCAGAAAGGAGAGTTCATCCTCCAAGGCGGTGATCCATCTTGGCTTCGTGGTTTGAAGTCGATCCCGGGAAAATTACAAGATCTCTATGAGATTAACAAGATTTTAGCTCATAGGCCGTGGTTGCTGAACAAAACGCACATAGAGGTAAGTTTGAATTAAATTTCTTCAATTTGATCAATGTTTCACAATGTTCTTTTAATCTTTTGCAATTATTAAAAACATACAGGTATTCTTTTTTTTTTTTTTTAGACAAAATTAATGATGAATTACACACACTTATTTACATTCATTACGTAATTTGAATTATAATAATTTATGTATGTTTTTGCAATCGTTAAAAGTCTTTTATAACCAAAATTAATAACACACAATTGATCGTATATTTTTATATAATTTGATTTATCACTATCTTACGTGTAAAATAAATTTGTCGTTAAATTGCCATTGGTTAAATGTCA